TTAGAAGCGTCAATTGTGAGTATGTACTTGGCCTCCCGTATAACACAAACTAAAGGGTTTTAGTTAAGATTTTTTTTCCTGCTTTACATAAATGCTGATTTATTATTACTTTTGTGTCTGGTACCATTGTCTCGATCTATACAGGTCCAACCTAGTTCTTTACACTCAAATTTTACTACATGAATGCTGGAGAACAGTATTTCCATGCTACATGCCATAAAAGCTAAACCTACATGCAGTGTTTTAATAAAAAGGAAAATAATGAGCTAGATATGGCATCTCTTTTAGATGATGGGGTAAATTCTTCCTGGTAGTTTCAGTGTTGTTCAGTTGCTCAGCTCTTGTGACGTGCTCCTGCTCTGTGGTTTTCATCTAGTGTTGTACAGATGAAGCTCTAGACTCTAATGTGTTTTCTTTCAGTAAAGAAAATGGCTTAGAAAAAAGGTGCTGTTGTAAAGCTGTTAATGAAATCAAAGGAAACACATACTGGTATAAATTGTACTGATAGGCATAATAAAAATAGTGAAAGATGGAACAGATCTTTGATTTAATTCTAGAGTGCTTGTGCTAAGGCTGAAATATTGGATGTTATGAAAAAAGTGTAGCCTTCAATCAGCATGTGTGTGATTAACTTTTTTTTTTTTTTTTACTTTTTCAGGAGGAATAGAAAAAATATCTCGGTGTAGATTGAGACATTAATTTTCCAGTCCTTTTACTGGTTAATAGGGGCTTGATCCAGAAGCTGAAAAAAGGGAGTTACAAAAACCCCAGCCAGCAATGGGGTATTAAGGTGGCTTCCACAGATGATGTCTCTTCTGATGTTGCCTATATCCAGTGCATGTTTTACCCTGGCCTGCCAGGAGTGGCTAATCCTGAAGTGTTTGACCTTATATAGCTGCTGCCATTTTGGGAGGAGGAAGTCCAAGATTGTGCTCTTTCACCCGGGAGAGGCTGATAGGGGCTGGTATCATGAAAGCCAGAGGGTTGAATATGTGGTCATGAGGAAGAGGGGAGGAGTTGTCTGTGCCTTCATGGAAAACCTCAACTGGTTGATGACAAATGCACTAATACCAGTCAAATGGGTAAAAATCCCAGGCATGAATAAGAAAACAGAACTGAATAAAATGTCTTCAAGCCCACTAACTCTCTTACCTTGACATTTTTGGACTGGGGAGAAGCGCCTCTAACGGGTGTGATTTCTGCCTCTGTGCTGTATTTCGAATGCAAGCTTCCATACTTAATACAGTTCTATGTACAGTTGAAAACTACGTGAAGAAGGCTTCTCTTTTGCGTGTGAAAGAAAGCAGCAAATAAAGTAATATTAAAAAAAATAATAAAGAAAACAACTTGGGAAATTTGATTACAGAAAATATGTGAGTGAATGAAGATGGTTTTGTGCCGTCTGCTGCCCCTTCAAGGTAGACTTCAGCAAACAACAGAGGCTCAGCTAGTGAAAAATCTGGTTCCTACTAACTATGCATTGGTGCATAGGATGGGCAATATGCATGTGTGTGGACAGGTTGCAGTGCTCTGCCCTTTTCTGAATGGTGTTGGAAAGCACTTGTAACCCAAAGGCCTCATCATTCTTTGTATTTCTCTACCCCCTTCATATGTCATTTGTGATCTTGTCTGACACTTTCACTTCCCTGCCTTAATTCCCTAGGTAATTGTGGATAAATCTCCACAATGAAAGTCTTCTGTGCCCCTCTGCCAATGCAGCTTAGCCTAGCAGCGAGGCAGGCATGTACACTAATGTGCAGGCACTTTTCTTGGATCAGTTTACAGGGAAGTGCTGGGAGAGGGGAGCAAAAGGTATGTCTCTGAGATGTGTTGTCACTGATGTCCTGCCAATCTGCTCCATGTGGGTCCTGCCCCATGCACGCAACAAAGCCTAACATGGAGAGCGTAGCTGGACTACTTGGGGATGAGCTCCCATTGATTAGTTCCAGACTCTAAGCTCAGATGTAAGGAAGTGCAGATATGCGATCTCAGGCTATCTCCTGTATTAGAAATGGTAATTTTACTCTTTTTATCCCTTGGATTGGGAAGCTTGATTATTTTTTTTTTGTTGAATTCAGCATCCTGAAGAGACAAACAGCATTCGTGTGTCCTTCATTCCTTACAAAGGTTTTCTGGTTATGAAATCATTTATAGTGATACTGGGTGGAGTCAGCTTTTTGAGCATTTTCTCATGCTTTTGATAGTAAATGCAGTTTAAAGAAAATACATAATTTTTCACTCTATTATTAGTTAGCAAATTTAATATCCACTCACTTCTGCTTGGTAGATGGCACCTTATTCTTCCTGAATATTGTATAATTGATTGCTCTGAATAAAGTTGAGTTTCACAGTAGGTTTATGAGGCTTATTTTAATAAAACCAACTGCAACATAAATAATACAAAGAATATCTGAGAGGCCATGTAACAGAAACATACAACTGGACAAATTAAACAGGAACTCAGGTAATTTTTTAGATAGATTGTATTTTTCATGGTATTAGATAATTAGGAGAAAATTACTGGAGCACTTCCTATAATTAGTAATTATCTAGCCAGTTGTCCCTAGAAGCATATTGCTGCAGCACAATGAACTATATTTCATGCTCTAGGACAGACCTAATCTTACAAGATTAGGTTTAGAATTGCTACAAGGTGCAGAAATAACTATGCAATGGTCCACTTTGCTAATTGCAATCATTTTCCAGAGGATAAATTCACTTCAGCAGATTGTACTAACTGGGCAAGTTCAGACCAGAACTTTAGCATGAGAAGGTCATGGAACTGTCAGCACAACAAAATCCATGAGGTGATTTAAGGTCTGTTATTAACCCACATAGTAAAAAAGCAATAGCTAGATTTTGCATTGATAGGTAATCCTATTTGCCTGAATTACTGTAGGAGGATAGGTAAAGAAATGGGGTTTGAATACTGTAGAAATGCCAATGATAAGAACACGTTCAGTAAAGTGGCACTGGGTTTGCTATGAATGACAAGTGCTGAGGAACACTTACTATGTCTTTGTTAGGCTTTGACTTGCAATGCCTTTCTGGCTTGCTTTATCCCACTCCAAGAAGAGATGCTGCAGCAGTTGACGGTAGGCTTTCTGCTAGTTCTTTGCTCATCCTTCAGCTGTTTCACCAGCTGCATGGTGATACCCCTTATCAATATCCACTTCATGAGTTCTTTCTAATTATAATTTTGAAGCACATACAGTTCCAACCAATACTCAGTGTATTTTAACTGTGATCACAATTAGGGGTGGCCTGAAATCTCTTAAGTGTACCAAGATAGATTTTCCTTAAAATAGCAAGAAAACCTCTGTACCATGTGCATGGTAAAATGTTAATGCCACTCATACTGTCTAGATAGCTCCTCAATACCTGGCATGCATATTGTATTCCTGTGGTGCTCAGCACACAACATGCCAGCTCAGTAGTACTATAAAATCATTTAGGAAGCAGGTGAGGAACCCACTGAAAATTTGAAGATGAGCAAATCTCTACAAAAAGCATAATATGCAGGAGGAAGTAGAGAATAATGAACTGACATTATTCGTGAGCTCATGGATTTATGTTACTGTAATTGGGAATTACATGGAGAAGGAGCGGTTGAGAGGATCATAAAAGGAATGTTAATTCTGTATTTTAAAGACAGGCATCAACATCTGTAGATCTATTTAAAACTTGCCTGTTCCAAAAATTTCAAGTGCAAATAAATGAGACTGGAAGAGGAGGTCTTTAAAAGAGACAAGAACTGGGCTGGAATAGTTTTAAATGAACAGGACACACAAGGAGTTTTTAAATGGCCACAATAAAGACTTCAGGTCGTGATTGTTTCGAGATAGAGGAAAATCAAGCTCGCTGTGGGGAGCAGGGAGACGTGAGGCTGATGACACAGTTTGCCTGTTGTAATGCGGTCTCTATGGCTTTTTGCATTGCAGCTCTTCTGACATGCAGTTATGTTATGAGGAAGTTACATGTGATAAACATGGGTTTGAGTCTTACAGGTAATATAGTGTATAAATAGCCTTGAGAATAGGTAAACGTGTTGTAAATGGTGATTCACCAGAAACAAAATGGTAGATCTCTGGGTTTTGTGAGAAGCACTAAGTGAGACACTGTATACACAGCATGCATCCCTTCAGGCACCTCACTTGGAGGTAAAATTCCGGTGTCTTTGTTTTAGTATAATTGCTTTTGAATAGTTAAGCTGATGTACGTTAGGTTTTTGTAAGAAAAATTCCCTGTGTCGGTATCCCCATGTGTGCAGTCAAAAGAGAGGAGAAATTTGCAAGACAAATAGAAAGTCAGTGAAATAATTTTCATAAAGTTTAGCATGGTGGAATTTCTATCTGTGGTGCAGGGAAATGAGAGGCTCCAGGAATTCAGTGTATCAAATATCTAATGCTTAAGACTGTGTCTTTGACGGCTGTGTACCACATGTAGAGATGGAAGCAGTGACCTGTGCTGTTACTCAACCCTTTCCACAGTAAGATCCTGTTTTTACTTACAACTTACTCCAATTGCAGTAATTGAGGCTGAAATTTTCCATGAAACTGCGGTCGAGGAGTTGTCATGATGTCAGCGCAGCAACAAACCCACACTAAACTGCCTGCAAAATCAGCCTCTGAAAACATGGAGGCTTTTTTTGTCTTCATTTTCTGTGCACCAGATTTCCCTCAGAGGGATGGTGTTTGCTACTTGATGTTATTAGGATAAGTCCATGCAGTTTGTGTAGCACACTTAACTATATAGACGAATGGTATGATAAGGCCATGAGGAACTTTGCATTCGGTGTGTTGTTGGGTATTAGTTAAGGCTGGAGTTGAAAGCATCATACAGCAGTGGTATCAACCTCCCTACCTGAGCTGGGCACCCAAAGCACTGCTACAAGTATGAGGTGCTCTCAAAGCAAGTCCTGGCAGTATCAGAGAGTCATCACTTTTGCATGCGTTTCTGAATATCTGCTTCATTCTTCTTATCTCTTTGTTTTTTCATAGTGAGTGTTGAAAAAGTGGAATTAAAGGGACTGGCACACAAGAAGAATGAAAGAAATGTTGAATATTCCTTTGAGGTAAGGTTGGTTTTCTACTATGAAAGAAAGGAGAATAATCATACTTAAGGAGAAGTTAAAGAAATTCTCAAACCTCAGTGCTAGATCCCAGAAGTTGCTCTAGTGGAGCTTCTTTGAGACAAATGGTAGTCTTATTTTTTAATCAGTGATTTGGAAGTAGTCATAAATGGCTGATTATGAATATATGTGGGTGATGCAGAGATTGTCTGGTAAGTGGGACACAGGCAAAATAGATACATTCACTCTAATGCAGCAAGTTATGGCTAAGTATATATTTAGGGGGAAATATCATGCCATGCTTACAGAACAGTTACCCTTGGGCTGAATGCAGACGCTAGAAAGAATTTAAGTTTTAATCTGGACAGATGAGAGTTTAGACTCTGTGGGCACTGCTGCACATACTGGAAAAGAGGTAGGACGGTCATTTATCTTTGCATTCAGCACTGAGGGAAGTGTGAGACTGTGGTGTGACCTTCAGGCATTACTGATTATAAAAGGAGTGATGAGAAGGACAGAAAATAGCCCTGGAAGTTATTCAAAGCTTGAGGAAAATGCTGTGTAGTGAGAGACTTAAAGAACTTGACTGAAAGATGATTTTCGGTATCCTATAAAAGTGTTTTCAAAGGGAAGAAAATGTTGCACTGTAAAGGCAGTGTTAATCTAGGAGAAAAAGGCATAACAGGAACTGAGGTCTGAAAATTGAAGCCAGACTAATTCAAACTGGAAGTGAGAATAGTTTCTTTGGAATGAGGGTGGTTAGCCACAGGCTGCTGGGAGAAGTGGCTTCCCCTCCTATTCACGCAGCTTTTGGAGGTCTGGTCATTGCTCACAGTTTCTGTGGAGGGATGACTTCATTGTGTGAAGCCTCGTGTTAATAGCAGAGACTGGATTCTGGGTGCTGGCGAGCAAGAATGGCAAACTGCTTTTCTTCCATCTAGTTGGAGTGATGTATTCCAAAATTCAGACTTGCAAAGCCCAGAAAATGTCTTTGGTTTGCTTAATGAGGCGGCAGAGCCAAACAGTTGGTGAGAAAAGGAGAACTCGAAAGAAAACAGCAGAATTTCAATTCTCTGCAGTTTTATCAAAAAGGAAAAGTTACTCTTTAAAACTACCACCCAAGATCAGTTCAGCATCTGCCTGTGATGTTGACAGCATTAACCTCTGCGTGACTTGATATTGTTCTGCGTTTTCCAAATCCCATGATTGTTCCAAACATCAGTATTAGAAAGGAGTTTTTCAAGGGATTTTAAAAATCACTATGAAACATGCAGTTACATATTAGTGTTTTGTGAAACATCTTTTTCTGTTATGAATTTTTCTGTGAATACCAGAAATTACTTTCACCAGTATTTCACTTGACAGCTTATAGCTGAAGGAATAGTATGTAATTTAGTTGAGCTAATAAATTGCTGTTTGCTCGGTTAGAAACCCAGCTATTAAATGTTTTGTTTAGCAGCTTGGGAATAGAAGGTCAATAGAGTAGTTTAGTGTTTTCAGCATCGCTTTGTAATGTTATTGTTCTCTGCGTTTATGATTCATATTTTTGTTTTATAAGTATTGAAAATTATAACCAGTTGGCGAAATGGAAGTCATAACAAATACTGGGTTATTACAAAACTAGAAAGAAAGAGAAAGTTCTAGATTTTTCTGAAACTTCTCATGAATTCTAAAAAAAGTATTCATTTATCATGAACATTAAGAAGAACCCAACAAAAAACCCCCACAGGCTTTGTAATAACAGAAACTGCTTAAGTTCTCATCTTTTCTTTTCTTTTTCCTTATTTTTTTTTGTGTAATAGCTCTTCAGAGAGGAAATTCCTCCATTATGTAATGTATTTTGAAATACTCTCCTCTCACCAGTCTTTTTGGCAGCATTCTGGTGGCTGGAAAAACTTTGTGCATGTTTTCAGTTGTCATTGAAACTAGTGTCATGTGAGAAGATGGTCGCCTGGTTCTTAACACGTAAATCCAGCTTCCTCCCCTATAGAACTGATGAAGATCCATATGCTTCCCAGACGCCGTGAGCAGATACCTGAAGTCTGAAGGCATTTATCGTTGGCTGGTCTCATGCTGATGTCCTTTGTGCCAAGAAATCCTGGCTTTGGCTCAGTTAAACTAATCATCTACCGCGCAATAAAAGCCTCTGTATCTAAGAATGTAATGACTTTAATGCATACGGGAAGAGATACTGAACCCTTTCCTTCTTCTAGGGCATATACAAGATGGTGTCTAAAGAGTGTAGCTAGAGCAGGAGCTGCAGGTTTCCTTTCTAAGGCTTTGCCTTTCTTTGCAGTGTGGTGATTTGCTGCCATCTTCAACTTTGCATGGCATATGGAGTTGATTAATTATAAATAGGCACTGTTGTGCTGTGGCGAGTTGTTCATATTGAACATCAGATTCTACAAACCAGCTGTTTTCTTTAACAGTAATGAGAGAAAAAAATTTCCATTACTTAGTAGTCTGTTGCTTAATACTGGACGTCTGCAGCTTGCAATGGCTGTGTAAACTATGAAGTGCTTTTTTAAGCATTCAGAATAGCTGTTAAGTATAATAACAGCAAGAACCAGGCAGCGAGGGAGGACTGAGTAATAGTTACTTGTGCACAAGAGAGAGATTTTCCTTATTGCTCTCACACATTACAAACTCTCTTGAAATCGGGGGGTGACATTTGATGACCATAATTGATCTTTTGGAACCAAACTTAAGTCCCTGACCATTAGTTACTAAACTGAATACTTTTCACTTCCTAAGGTCCTGTGGTCTGATTCTTCAGTGACGTTGGTAACCAAATCTTCCTCTGAAGTGACTGATTTTATCTCAAAGGTAAAGGCGATATCAAAAACACTTTGAGCACAGGAAGATGTTTTATCCCTCTGTGTAGCTTTGTCAAATGACATTTTTCAGATATGCTGAGATAGTACAGATTGAATTTCATAAAATGTTTGACTTACAAATTGCTGTGCATTGAAACTCCTATGAGTAACAAGTCTTCTTTTCACTCATTATTTGTAATATCCTCCACATTTAGCTGTCTCAGCTGTATCCAGAAGAAAACTTGGAGAAATTCATTCCTTGCCTAGCTGGTCCAGATTCATTTTACCTAGAACGGAACCACATGGACCTGGAATCGGACCTTAGGTATGCTGAGATTTCTGTTGTTGTGGGTTTTTTTCCTTAACACTGGCTTTTTTCACCAACTGGAAGAAAAAAAACCCAGGAAATAGAAATAATACGTTCCTATTCCAAATTACTTTTAAGAAATTAGAGGCTCATCCTGAGCGTTATTTCTTGATGTTCTACTAATTCCAGCATGGAAGAATTTTCTAGGAATTTTTTCTTCGGAAATACAGATGGTAATAATATTCAGTATTAAGCTTCTTGGAGAATTGACATTTCCTAATTCCTTATTCAAAACAAATAGAGGATCATGGGCTTTGCAGAAGCTTGGTTTGGGCTCAGAAAATAGCCAGGAAACTCAGGAAAAATACAGCTGCCTCAATAGTCATCCTTCCGTATTGAGGGATGGGTTGAGGGCATTTTCTTTTTTACCCTTACCCCTTTAGAGGGTTTTTGTGTTGTCTCAGTTGTTCTAGGTTGTCATGGTATTTATTTTAATTTTTAAAAGGTAGGTATGTGTATATATATATATATATATATATGTATGTATATATAATAGCCATTAAATTTGTGGAAGCCATTAGCAGCCAAGACGTTTTTAAAGTACCTCCTCACGTTATCACAAATCACCTGGCCATTATCTAATCTAAACTACAATCTGTGGCAGGTCACATCAGATCTCTCTTTCTGGATACCACAATAGTTTTGCTAGGAGAATTCGAAGGACTTAAATTATTGTCAGCTACTACTGTCTTTATCTGTGCAAAGTATTGAATGGCATTTTAAAATACTAATTAACTTCTGTTAGAGCTTCTGCTAAGCACCTATTTTCCCTAAATCCAGACTGGCAGAGCCACCCTGGATATTGGTTTTCCACAGTCAGAGCCAGCAGGTACATGCCTAGATTATTTTTAATGGCAAACAGCATTAACGTTTCAGATAGTCCCTTCTGTGCTTTAAGGATCACAGGCTATTGACAGGACTTAGGGAGGGTAAGGAAGAATGCATGCTGCTGCTGTTCAGCCTGCAACAGTCTGCAAATCTAGGTTAATGGAGCAGCAGTCTGTGTTCCCAGAGCAGTGGTTGCATCTCTGGAGCAGAGAAAGAAGCTGTTCTGTTAAATGCTGCATGGGTGTAATGTTCAGAATTTTAACTGTGATTTTTCAAGGTAGAAAGCATATTTGTGTGCATGTGTGCAGTTGAGTTATTTTTTACTCAAAAGACACTTAAAATGGTAAAGATACGGTCAAAATGGTCTCTTTAAAACCATTTTCTGTATGGTTTTGACATCTGTAGATCTGGCACCAGTTTTTGCATGACCATGAGAAGTTTATACATGTTGATGGAACACACTTTTTATGCATTACAGAGTTTTAGGAGATTTTCCCTCAAAAGAGGCACGGCAATCCCAAAGCAAACGTGACATAAGTTTTACAGCCTTTTTCCTTACACTGCCAGACTCTGCATCTGCTGTTTACCTCCAAGAGGAGAGAATGAAATAACAGATACATCTATATTTTGTGGTCTTCAGATTCGTGAATTTGAAGGGAAATTTTCAAGTTTATATTTGAACATTTTCTGCTTTACACACATTCAGTGTTCCTAAATTAAGCATCTTTACCGAAACACTCAGGAGAGTGAAAGCAACACAATGATAACGTGTTTAAGTAGTATTCAGTGTAAGAACATCCATACTTTGATTCAGTATTGCGTGGTGTTATTAATTTGAAAGGTCTTCTATGTTCCAGTTTTAAAATTTCCAATTCAGTTTCAAAACGTTATTTACAGTCTGTAATTTTGACTTTATAGGCAGCTCCAAATCAAACATAACAATGGGGGGGGGGGGGTGTTTGCTTTTGATGAACATGCAGGTATTTGGCACCATTACCTTCCCATGTGGTGAAAAATGACCACGTTAGAAAGTTCTTCAGCGCTTCATCTCCTTCACAGCAACTTCAGAGCTCGAGTAAGTTTAAATAAAGCTTAAAACCGAAATTTTTTGTACAGATGCGAATTTCATAAACAGACACCACTTGTAACTTCTGTTCCCTGTTTCTAGATCCTGGCAATCCCTCCCTTTATAAAGTAGGAACCACGCTGGGAACATCTGGAAGGTGAAACATTTATTATGTTTACGTTTGTTCTGGTTAGTTGCAAAACCCCATCGTATCAGGAACTATCTGTCCTTGGAAGTTATGAAATCAGCAGTGGCTGTCTTGCCCTAGGAAATTTGTATGTTCAGGGAAGAATTTGAGGAAACCTCTTGACCAGCGTTACATGGGAGATAAGATCAGAGGATTGCTGTGATCCTGCTGGCTGGCAGTAAAACCTGCTCTGAGCAGCCTTTCTCTAAAGGTTTACAGCTGTAGCTGCTAGTTGGCATCAACACTTCAATGCTGAGCTGTGGTGATGGATGATTCCTTTGTGATCCACTGCTTACTGCAGAAGTGGTAATGGTCTCAATTACATACTTAGAAGGAATTGTTTTGAAACTGAATCGTAGGTGTGTCATCCCTAGTGCAGGTCTTTGTGGTCAGAGGGAGACTAGAGCATCTCTGAAAGGGTTCTTTTCTCTCTACAGCATGTTTGAATGTTTCCTTGTACAGCAGGGGTTTTCATTTCAGAGAGAAGAGGAGACCTCTTCCAGGGGAGGGAGAAATCAGCCTTGGGAGGAAAGAAATTGTCTTGCCTTTTGTTAGGATTTAACAAACTTAGAACTCATTCTCTGAAGAGGCAACTTTCATTTTCTTCTACAAAAACAGGATCTTCCAAGGATCCAGTATTGGGGGTTATTTTGCCACTTACACATGTAAAAATTTCCACAGGATTATATTTGGGCTTCTTTTTAATAATGCCAAGAATTACGGTAAACTATGGTCATTCTCTCTAAATTTCTTTTAAATCACAGAGGTAGTAGACTGTATGTTGGCTGTGATTATAGAAAGAAACCTCTGCTTAACTTAAAGATAACACTATTTGCCCTAAGCTGCACTGTTCTTATTGTGGTATTGAACAGCAGAGATACAAATCTCCAAGTTGGATCCAACAGTTCAGAATTTACTAGAAATCCTGGAAGTGGTAGATTTGTATGGCCATCGTAGCTTGAGCTATGGGTGAGACAGATTCAATGTGCTAAACTGAACTGTATTACTCCTTTGCAGACCTATATGTGGAGTGGCTGGCATTCAGTCTTCTCAGAATCACGTTCAACACTCAGCTGCTGCTCCTGTTGCACTACCCCACTGTTCCCATGCAGGAGGTACTGGCTCATCGCTGGCCTATCGCACCCAGATGGACGCCTCTTCTTCACCCATGTTAATGTCTTCCAGTCCACAGACTCCTCAGACACAGGAGCAAAATGGGATCTTAGACTGGCTCAGGAAACTGCGGTTGCACAAATACTATCCTGTCTTCAAACAGCTCACGATGGAGAAGGTAGGGCAGTGGATTAAGAGAAGGGAGGTAGCTTTTAAATCATACTCGTGTTCTCTAGTGCAGAGAGAGGGGCTGCAAACATCTGCATTGAGAATTGCAGAAGTTACTGGCAAATGTTGTGAATGTTTTGCTCTCTTGAAGCAGTAATATTTTGATGAGAACCTTTCTGTTTGGCTCTGTGTTGTGTCCGGGCCTGAGCTGTTCCACAGCTGCCTCCTGCTTCAGCATGCTTCACTGAATGCTTGAAGATCCATCTTGCATGCAGCCTCAGGAGCTCTGCTTTGGCTCCTTGTTCATCCCTTCGATGTGGAGCACATAACTAAAAATTGTAGGGGCTTTTCTTCTTATTATTTCTGCTTCTTGGTGGATTTTTGTCCAAAAACTATTTGTTATCCTGATTTTAGAGAATAGACTCAGAGACTTCTGAAATGAACATCAGTGTGCGTGTACCTGTAAGGGAACGTGAGGTTTTTGTTTTATGCTGAAATTCTTGTGGGAAAGCAATCACTTGTATATTTGCACAATAGGAGTCACAAATTACACTTCTGTGTGCTGGGTTTTGTCTAAATGGAATACGTTTGCAGCATTTACCCAGCTCCCATCTATAAAATTCCCGTAATCTTTCTGTTTTTTAGCCTTGAACGCCCTCCAGTGGAGCAAGTGCTTAGGTCCAGGTCTAGATTGGAGTGGCTTTATGCTGGCTGTAGAATGTTGGATTTAATCCTAATCTGTTACCAGAGTCTTCTGATTCGATTTTCTTCATTATGTGAGGGAAATCTATAGTGTTTTGTTCTCTAATAAAGTAGCAAAACCGTGCATATTCTAGTGTGTTTTAAATAAGCATGTGCTATTATGCATACTTTGCTGGCTTTGATTTTCATTACATTATAAATGTATATATTACAATTTCATATTCTATGTCTATATTTTGTTATAAGATTTAATTTTGGAGTATATTTTCTAATTAAACTGATGAGTTGACTGCGTATTGATTTCTGTGTTAAACGACACAACTAGGAAGACTAGAGGTTTTTTTTTCCAGAGAATCAGATCCTTAAACCCATTTATAACACAAAATTCTATTTTAATATGTACACAAATTTCCCCGTGTTTATTGTGAGTAGTTAGTATAAGCACACACCTAATTAAATTTAATCTACAGATGTTCTTCCTTTTGCGCTGGTTTCCCACATTTTCTGTCTACACAGATTCTATAACCAAAAACTAGAGCAGAGAGTTTCTTTGAATTAGCGTGTTAAAAAATGGCTTTAAAGTTGCCTTCCAGAGTTGATCTTGATTAACAATGTAAATAAGAACATTCCAGGCTGTAAAACTAAGCACGCATTGTTTTTCTTTACAAGTTTCTGAGTCTTACTGAGGAAGATCTGAATAAGTTTGAATCCCTCACCATGGGAGCAAAGAAGAAGCTCAAGACCCAGCTAGAGTTGGAGAAGTAAGTGTGTGTGTGGGGAAACTGTCTTTTTAAGGCCATATTTAACGCAAGTTTTATGACGGCCTTTGCTTTCTAGAGCATATACCTGCCAGGATTCCCAGCTGTCAATGTGGGTAATGCTTATCTCCCATCCTCTGAAGATGTGTTGGTTACTGTGAAAAGCTCTTAGCAGATAATATCTATTACTTACTGGTTCACTGTCGCCTGTTCATGGTTGTGGTAGGCATAACCGAATGGAAAGAGTTTGTGAACTCTGTTTTAAAAGGATACAACAACAAAGTCATATAATAAATACCTGTTGTCACCTCCTCTCATGAAGGTCGCACCTTCATGATCTCAGTATTGCCAGACATAATATTTCCAGTGCTCTGTGCAGTATTAATAGCCCTTTGGGGAAACTGATGTAACAGACTGTCTTTTTCTTGCATCTCCTCTTAGAGGGAAATGTTTATTCTGAAGCTTCCGCAGTGACTTTAAAAGTAATTAAAAATCCAAATCCAGGCCCATTTATCAAAGCTCCTTGACAGCACTTTTCATCAGTCTTAGTTTTTTCCAGATTGTGTTTACAAAATGAAAACTTGGAGCTGCATTTGTCTTCTCTTTGGTTTTGGTGTGCATGGCTATGCTTGGGATGTGCTTATATCATGTGTGGTAGGATTTAGTCACTGTTGGGTGATATTTTACCCTGTACAAATAAGAGCATTAGTTTTGTAACCAGACATTGCACAGTCCAAATGTAACTGCTGGCAAGAAGCTGTGGTCACAATTGATGCGATTTCCAAACGTTTGCAGTTGACATTAGCATAGCATTTAGTGGATTATTTAGTGGGCTCTGTCTGCTTCGGTTTCATTCAGAAATTGATTTATCTGTCATTGTGCATTAGCCATTTTCTGTTTCCTCATATGTTTCTCCATCACCCCATAGAGAAAAGTCGGAGAAACGGTGCCTAAACCCCTCAACACCTTCTTCAGTTACCAGCAGTGGTGTGGCAAGGGTTCCCCCTACTACACATGTAGGGCCAATCCAGAGTATTCGTGGCAACCATGCTGCAGGTAAGAAAGAGGAGCAAAGGACACTGCTCTGCTCTGGGGGCTGAATGTGACCTTGCACGAGAGCAAGCTCATTCTTACAGTGCTTTTTCTACAACCCATCATAAGCTTTATCTTCCAAAATGTCATTGGCTTAATGGGGAGCAATCAAAAAGTCTCATTCCTTATTGTGAGGGTGCTGAGGCGCTGGCACAGGGTGCCTGGAGAAGCTGTGGCTGCTCCATCCCTGGCAGTGTTCAAGGCCAGGTTGGACACAGGGGCTTGGAGCAAGCTGCTCTAGTGGAAGGGGTCCCTGCCCGTGGCAGGGGTTGGAACTAGAGGAGCTTTAAGGTCCCTTCCAACACAAACCACTCTGGGATTCTATGATTCCCGTGTATGTGTAGTGCAGTAAAAAGTGGTTTCCTGCTTGCGGGTTCCATGTGAATGGCTGGCTGCACTGGTCAGCAATTGTTACAGCTCCAGGCTCCTGCTCCTTAGCTGATGTGTGTCTGTAAACCTTGAGCATCACTGTATGTTAGATGGTGTCATGAAACAGCTGTAATTAAGTCCCGCCACGTAGGTGTCACCGCTCGCATCTGCACTACCTGATGGCTTGTACACCCTTTATTTGCAGAGCTGCGAGTGGATGTGGATCAGCCAGCTCACCCATTGCCCCGTGAGGGCAGCTCATCTGAGTATTCCAGCTCTTCTTCCAGCCCCATGGGGATCCAGACAAGGGAAGAGAGCTCGGACAGCGCCGAGGAGAATGACAGACGTAAGCAGAACCAAGCAGAGAGGGTGCCTGTGTTGCCCAGCTTTGTCTCGTGAAGCTGTTGTACTTACGGATGTTTCTGTCCCTAGGTTTGGAGATTCACTTAGATGGTTCTGAAAAGGAGAAGCCAGTGATGTTACTGAATCATTTCGCTTCCAGCTCTGCCAGACCCACGGCTCAAGTCTTGCCAGTGCAAAATGACGCAGGCTCCAGTCCGTCCAGCCACCACGCTCTGCCCATGCAAATGATGTCAGCGGCCTCTACTCACATCACCCCCATTCGGATGCTAAACTCAGTCCATAAATCAGAGCGTGGCAATGCAGACATGAAGCTCCTTTCATCGTCTATGCATTCTCTTTTGTCTTTAGAAGAGAGAAATAAAGTTTCTCCTGGATCTAGGGGCAGCATTAAAATGGAAAAGAGCTTTGGAAATACAGTCGTGGATGTAATGTCTGCATCTTCTCCCCACCAGCCCTTGCAAGTGCTGTCAGGTGCTGCTGAGAACAGCTCACCCACTTCTACTATTAACTTTGGTCCTCGAACCAAAGTTGTACATGCTTCAACTCTGGACAGAGTGATAAAAACAGCTCAGCAGCCAGGATTAATAGTAGAAACGAGTACTGCTGCCACTGTAACATCCAGCACGGTCTTCCACGTGGCTCGTCCACCCATCAAACTCCTGGTGTCTTCGTCTCTTCCTACTGATTCTGCCATTGCCGGACAGACTTCCTGCTCCAGTAATATGCAAATAACGGTGTCCCCTGCAATAATAAATCCCCGGACTGCTCTGTACACAGCCAACACCAAAGTTGCCTTTTCTGCAATGAGCAGCGTGCCAGTGGCGCCAATGCAAGGCAGTTTCTGTGCAAACACCAACGCAGCCTCCTCCAGCAGCCACCCATCCACATCCTACGCGACCATGGCCAACCTGCCCAGCTGCCCCGCACCCAGCTCCAGCCCCACGCTCTCCTCTGTTGCCGACAACAACTTCTACAGCAGCAGCAGCAGCAGCAGTAGCAGCAGCAGCAGCAGCAGCAGCGGATCCGCAGGGAGCATCCCGGTACCAAACCAGAACCACCACCACCATCACCACCAGCAGCAGCAGCCGCAGCCGCCCGGGTGCATGGTGTGCAGCTCCTGCGGGTGCAGTGGGAACTGCGGCACCGGCGGTATGACCGTCAGCTACGCCAACTATTTCCAGCACCCATTTTCAGGCCCGTCGATGTTTACTTTCCCGTTTCTGCCCTTCAACCCTTTGTGTGGTAACGGCTACATCAACACGCAGCAGTACAACAGCAGCACGACCTTCCCCGTGGTCCACACCGCTTACAACAGCGGCATAGCACCGGACTCCGTGATGGCTGGGCAATCGACGTTTGCGGTACCACCAATGCAGAACTTTATGGCAGGGACAGCAGGGGTGTACCAGGCACAGGGGATGATGGGAAACGGCAATGGTTCGAGTCACAAAAAAAACGGGAATCTCTCCTGTTACAACTGCGGGGCCAGTGGTCACAGAGCTCAGGACTGCAAACAGCCTCCGATGGATTTCAATCGACAAGGTAAAAGCAGGAGGAGGGACTGATGCAGAGTGCTGTGCCTAGCCAAGGGGAATGGCTGCATTCCCTGAGGGCTGGAGGGAGGCTGATGGCAGTGCCCTGTCCTTAACTTCTGACTTGCTTAAAGAGATCTTGTTCTTGGAAGCTGGTGGGGTTTTAGCTGTATTTGCAAGTTCTTTTGTGCAGGCCCAATGCAAGTACATAGGGCCCATAGGGTCTGCTGCTTTACACCTTGTCATCCAGGTCATCTTTGGTTCTAATGGGCAACTTCCCCTGGATGTTTACAAACCGAACAGCTCTGTTCCCCCTTTCCCTTCCTGAAATAGTAACCCAAATGGTGAGTTACTGTTCAGATGCTTCTGAAGGTCCCGTGTTTGCTGCTGTAATTATTTTGTAGGGCATGTTGCTTACACAGTTACAGACCTGGCTTCCCCAGGAGAGAGCTGAAATCCTTAATGCCAGGTGGGAAACAACTAAGAGAGAACGTTACATTTACTAAGAGCACTTTCTAGTCCCGTTTTTCTCTTGCATCTGGATTGACACACTGTGTTGGGATAATTTGCATGTGGTGTAGGCTTCAAAAATGAAACGTGAACTTTGGACTGGAGGGAACCGCACTGAGGGGTTCATTTTACACAGTGTGTTGTCCGTAGTGGGTGTCTCTAATTGGTTTTATATGGTGCAGCCAAGTATTTGAACACTGTATATTAACAAGTGACTTGGTTTTGAGGCAGAACTTGACAGCACTGCTAAAACGTATGTTAACTAGCGCTGTTTCTGTATATAACATACTGATTGTGGCCAGTGGGGAAGAAGCAACACTGCCTCATCAGTCCTAATTCAGAGAACTTCAGAAACACAGCCCAGTGCCTTTCTAAGATGAATTTCATTTCATTAACTAAATTTCCATTCACATCACCCCAAATGAATTTTTGCCAGCCCTAAAAGTGCATCTAAGCGAGTGACTTGACTTCGACTACATAAAACCAAGCTTGGATGTTCACCTCCATCGACTGCAGACACACGTTTGTCAGCCTCTCCTGCAGCTTCAGCACCTTAGCGTGGTGCTGTAATTACACATGTAACACTGTGTCATGTGCCCAGTAAGAAGCAGTTTGGTTTAGCAAGTGCAGAGATGTAATGGACATGAGGGAGTTGATGTTGTCTAATTCTTCTGTTTCCCCTTCTCCAGGTACGTTTAGGCTGAAGTACGCCCCTCCCTCTGAAAGTCTTGACTCCACAGACTGATATTTTATCATCTGGCAAGAAAATACTGTAAGCCATGGAGATACAAGGAGATTGAACTACAAATTGAGACGTCCAGTTGCTGTTAAGCTTAATGTATTTTTTAATCCAAAGGTGCTTTACTTTATTAGACTAGGTAGAAAATCTAGCTTAGGGGTGCATCGAACCCATTTTTGATTGCCAAATTCAAGCTTGGATCTTGTTGCTGGAACTTCTGACTCCCCATGTCATGGGATCGATGGATGGTGGAGCTGCCCTGATGCGAGTACAACATCCAAGGTACTTTCTTTTTGCTTGAGCCACGTTGCCATACGTGGACTTCCAAAGGGGGGAAGCATCGAGCTCCAGGGCAGCTTCATTCTGAGGTGGAAGCTGGAGGCTGGAGGTGGGAGCAGCCGTTTGGAAGGACTTTGGCACCCCTGGGCTGGGTAAAATGTCTACTTTTTTTCAAAAGTGATCAGGCACTAATCTCTGGGATTATTGAGGATTGCACTACAGAAGAATGTAAAACCCTTCGAGCTTTCTGCACTTCCAGCAGTGTCACTGAGACCAGCGCAAGAGGCAAAGAAGTTCCAGCTGTTAACAGCTGGCACCAGCAGGCGATACGTGACTTAACCACACAATAAAAGTCTGAAGTAAGTGTCTCCTTTTTCCCTACCAAAAGAACACAAACACGGCGGTTTCGGTTCCTTCTGGAAACAAACTTGTGCTTCACTGTCTCACTTATTGCTAGGTAGTGCTGGGTTCCCAGCGGTGGAATAGACTTTAGTTTCCAAGGGTCCAAGTCCCAGAGACTCCAGAGTCAAAAAGGCTTCAAGGATATATTCCTGTAATACACAAAACCTTTAAGTCCTGTTACTGTATATAGGTCTCTTTCACAGAAACTTTATTATTCTGCTTTTGTAAATGAGTTTTAAACCATCCTAAAAGAAAAATGCAAAAAAAAAAAAAGAAAAAGAACTCTGTCAGCAGAGTTTGTAAGCTTTTGCTTTACTTCATATAAAAAAATACCCCTTTGACTCCTACCCAGAGGCTTTTGCTACAGGATTCAGAAGTGGTAGAAGTCAAACATGTAAAAGGTAGTAAACTTCATTATTATCAAGACTCTGGCGGGTTTCTCGTCAGCCTCCTTCGTTGCAATAGATTGTAGATGACTAGCTTTGGTATTAACTACTTAGAGTACATCATTTGTGGGTGACAAATCTAAATTAGGACTCGAGAGGAAGCCAAACAAATCCTGAACTGCTCATTTGAAAGTTTGGTCCTGCCTGCTTGAAAGAAGATACTGATCCTCATGGCTCACCAGGGAATCTGACAGCATTAGGTGGGTCTTCTGTATCGCAGAGCTATTTCCTTACTGTAATTGGGAAGACATCTTGAAAGTCCAAAGCCTTGTTTACACTTGGAGGTATTTCTTACACCAACTTAAACCACACCAGGATGAAGGGTACATGTAGTGGTGCAGCCAGTTTTGCTTGGAAGCGAGGGAAGTTGTGTTGGAGGTGAAATGTCCATATGAGGGGGTGATGCAGGAGCTTGACAGCTGAGACCTTTCTGGACCATAGCAAAGGAATGTTCTGGGCCATCCTTCAGCCCTGTGTGCTCAGGGGGCAGTTGTCAGCCTCGTCAGAGCAGGATAAAGGAGCATTGCCAGAGAGGCACAGCAGCGTGAGATGGCCCGGAACCAGGCTCGGTCCAGGTAGTGATGTGTGGCTCGAAGTGGATGTGGCTTCATGGAAACCCAAATCTAAAATCGCATAATGTTTGGTTTTAAAGCAAAATGGATGAATTTTTACTTCCTATGCAATGAAGCAGAAAGATTTGTGCATCCTCATCCCAGCTCACACGTCCCACAGTACCGCACGCGCTGTGGAGATGCTTCCATCGCTCTGCCCGCGCTGGAGGAGGTTCCCTGAGTTCTAACCACCGACCTTCAGACCTACAACACTAAAGTGATGAAAACTGACAATGCAATTTACTTTGCCTTAATGAGCTTGAGACAATGGGAGGAACAATCTGTCGTACTGTGTTACGCTGAGGAAACGCGCAGTTTTCAGTGGTGATGTTTACTCTTTACAGCTTTGGGGGGTCTCTCCAGTGGCCTGGAACATGTGCTGAAAGCCAAACCTTTATTTTGTTTTAGTGGGGATTTTTCACTTTTTTTTTTAAACAATGCTTTCAAACTGAATTGTATTGAAGAAAACTGTTACTTTAACACACATGCAGGTGTCACAAACCCTCTCAAAATAGCAAAAATCAACAGCAAAAAAGTAAGGAATACTAATTTCTGTACCACTTCCATTTTGGTTTGATGCCCAGGGCTGGGCACAGCATCTTGTCTAACGTTCATCAGTGTCGAAACCGTCACAAAAGGACTGTCAGACTGAACCTGTGTCCAGCAAACTTTCATTCCTTTCTTCAGAGCTCTCTTTGGGATCGTTTCCTTTGTGTGAAGTTAAGGCTGATGTTTCTTAAGTGGCTTACGTGTACTTTTAGGTAACGGTTTTAAGTGGCAAAGTCTGGTTTTAGGGTAAGTTCAACTTCAGAAGTCTCAAGTACCTTAAAGCAGTGCGAGTGTTTGATGAGCTAACAGCGATTCCCAAGCTTTCCCTACACCCAGCGAGCTGTGGCTCTGGATCTGTGAGCAAACGCTGTTCAAAGCACCACAAACCACCAAAGTTGGTAAGTCTGAACAGAGCACTTTAGTTCTGTCAAACAACCCTTACATCTGTTTCTAAAAGGCACAAATCCATCTTTTCACCCCCCAAAAAGCAAGGCAGCTTGTTTTAGAATTGTAGTTCTGGCTTTACTGGCTGAAAGAACCAGTTCTTAAAACCTATTTTTATACATTGAGAGATGGGGATTTCAAAGAAAGCTATTTATTCCTGTCTTGTGTCGTAGAAGGATCAAAAGAATTAGTTCTCAAAATGGATTTCACTGTGGAATAGAAGTGATTTTTAAATGCAAAGGAGAAAGGGAATCCCAAGTCCTTCCCTGCAGGGGCACGGAGAAGTTAGCGCCGAGGCTTCCCTCGGGAGGAGCGAGTGACACGCGGTGCCGTCTCAGAAGCGTTTTCCATTTGGGAGCGTTGGCATTGGGAATAGTGGAAATGGGATGGAATTCCCAGCAAGCTCCTCATCACGCTGGCAGCCTGGGAGTGAAGTGTTAATAAATAGGCCAGGCTCGACGCCCAGCAGCAGGAGGGTGAAGAGGGAAGCCTCACTGCATCAAGTGGGGTATGGATGAGAGCGCTCCACGAGGCTCCTCCTTCAGAGCACGCTGCACTCCCCTTTTTGTGGAACCTTTTCATGCCACGGTCCGTAAATCCTGGCAAACTAAGTGCCAGGCTTCCAAAAATAACAGGTTAACTAACGCCAGGCCTTTGCCATTACCCGCATTCCATCCTGTGCTGTTCCTGGCTGGAGCTGCAGGGTGAGGGTACTCAGAAATGAAACGCGGCCTGGTTCCTCCCCAGAATAAACCTGACATCATCTGAAATGCCAGCACGTGGGTTCGCTGCCTGGTTGGTTACCAGAGGGCACGGAGCTCGGAGCTGTGCGTTCAGGATAGTCTGGAATGCTGTTAAATGAGAGGGATGTGAGCAGAGCTGGAGAGAAATCCGTGCGACTGAGCGCTTCCAGGGGCCAGGAAACGCGTTGGGTGGGAGAGGCGGCAGCCTGACGACACCTCCTGTACCGAATCCTTGGATCTAGCCCTTTGCTCCCTTCCATTTTTCCTCACATAAGGAAGAACCGTGTTGGTACTGAAGCGGAAAGCAAATCCTGTGTGTTTTCAAGTGCAGTTTAATAGCTTCTCTTGGACATAACTTTCCACTAGGAATGAAGGAAACTCCTGCTCCATTTGAGCCATTTCTTCTACTTCGGTCAATTCTAGTATTACAAATTGTGCATGTAACTTTATAAATATTTTAAATAGTTTTGTAAATATTTAATATTCAGCTAATTTGATTTTGAATTGTAAATGTCAAGTATTCTGGTATTGGGATTTTTATGTTTTATTATACTTTGTTAAAAGTAAAATTGTACATTTTTAGAATGTTTTTATCTGAGTAAATTTAATGTATGGAAAATAAAGAATTAAACAGAATCTCTTTGTACTTTTCTTAATTTAAAGGGGCTCCATCTGTGTGGGGGCTTCTCCTGCCTGGCACTTACCGGGGGCTTTAATTCAATTGCTGCTGCTGTCTCTCCACCTACAGACATCTGTGTGTAAGCACAAATCCATCGTGGTGCTTGCAACCGCTGGCTGAGCCAAGGAAGGATGCTCTGAAAGGGTTTCTTATCCAGAGTGGCCCAACTCCAGTGCCTGCCCACAGCAGTGTTGTGGGCAGGATGAGCAGGGAGGCTCTGCCTCCTGTTCCAAGGGAAGTCAGCAGCCAAGCCTCCAGGCTCCACTTGGCCACGTTGGCTTGGCCCTCGTGCACTGACTGCAGAGCAAGGCACAGGTTGGGGTGAGCAGGAGGAATCATCACCTTGCTGCGTCCTCAAACCTTCCATGGCCAGTGCCTGGGCCCATTCCCAAGGAACAGAGTCCTGGTTGTGAGAGCACCGGGAATCGGAAGCTGAGGGAGAGGCTGGTGAAGCAGGAACAGCAAAATATGGGAAGCCATGGGTGTGCAGGAACACCCTGGGCCATACCTGGCTATGGAGCGGAACAGTTTTACCTGTGGTTCCTCCCTGAGCTGTGCCCACCGATCAGCACCAGCGGGTCCTGTGCCTAAGCAAGCTGTCCAGAAATAACCACACGAGCCATAGGGAAATTGGGATGTAATCCATCCATATCAGCACTGTATTAAGTTTAAAAAAGCAACATTTGTACAGGAGTATCAGTCAATCACGTTGTAATTACAAGTATGGTTGTCAGTTATGAGTTAAACAATTCCTTACACGAACAAAAACTAAACATAGAACAAGCTGCATTTAGAAGTTTACATTGGAGTACAAACACAAAAAACAATAAAAAAATCCCAAGTCAGTCAGCCTTGTGAAGGAGATGCATGCAGAGAGGTGTAGGTAGTAAAAAGTGTACACCTTGCTGAGCTAGAGTGCCGAGGCGCAGTAGTATTGCTTGGTTTTCCCCAGTTATAGTAGTTAGCTTCCAGTAACAGATGCAGTTAGTTTACAGACACATAATATACACGAGTAATCTCATCCTGCTATGCTTCACTTGACAATGACTCCAGAGGAGAAACACCAGTCCTATATAATACCCTTCCTCTGCAAAGCCTGTCTCAGGTCAGGCCTAACGCCAGCATCGTCCCAACCCCATACAAGTGGCAGGAAACATCAGTGATGGCAAAAAGGATTTGTTCATCGACTGGGCAGCAGCTCCTGGGCCTGAGCCGCTTCCAAAAGCCGTTCTCCCTGACCCAAACAAGTGCCAGACTGGCTGGGCAGCGTGGGCTGGTAATGCCACCGGCAGGTACAACGGGAGCAGTACAACAAAGCATGGAGGGCCCTGCCAAGCCAATGGGAAGAGCGAGGACGGGCATTGCTCGTGTCTTAAGAGACACTGTCCCGCTCCATGGCTGGCCACACGCATCCCCAGTGCTGCCAGTGGGCCCCTCCACTACCTCCTCCTCTCAAGGGAACAGCAAAACTCCAGGTTAGGGAGGGGGGAAATCTTCTGGAAGCGAGCTCATGGTGAAAACCGTGTTTCACTGAACACAGGGACTGGGAATTCTTTACAGACTGGAGTTTATTTCAGTGCTACCTGTCTGGGTGTGTACTTTACAGTTAAAACACTTCCTAAAACTACAATAAAGCTGTGGTGTTTGGTATGAGTATTTCAGATACTGGCACCCTTCCTACACTTCCAGTGCCACAAAAAACAAGAGATAAAAAGAGTTGGACTCCCCCCAGCTCACCCCAAGCGCTCGCCTTCACTCGCTGCAGCACTGGCACGAGTCTGATCGAGCTGTTCTGCTGTGGAACATTAAAACATTTTTGCTCTCATGAGAAGCCCTCCCATTATTTTTTATTTTTTTTTTTTTAAAAAAAGAAAGTTTTAAGGAATAAAAGGGAGATTTTTCAAAAAAACTGTCACACGAAACACTTTAGCTCCTCCCTGGTGCCTGTTTGCTTGTTAGAAGTCAATCGAGTGTCCCTTTTGTTTGCAATTTGTCACATACACGATCGGGTTCCGTTCATAAAGTCCAGAAATGCAAATGTGCCTGTGTGGAATATTACAGCAGGTTTCAAAGCTGGAGGTGCTCGTCTGTACTGTTTAATAGTTACAAACAAGGCAAGGTAAGATGAGACACCTGCTAAAGCAAGACTATGCTAAAGTACTGAGAGCATAGGTGACATCCATTTCCTTCCCTGGGGTGCGTGTGGGGAAGAGTGGGGGTGATGGCCAAGGGTAAACCAGAATCCTAGGCTAGAAGCCACTCGCTCTTAGACAGAAGATTGCTCTCCGAAAGTCTCCTGAGAGGCGTACACCATGTAGAGGAACCCATCCTCGTCCTTCTCGCTCTCGTACACCTCGGATATGGGTGTGGAAACGCTCACCATGCTGTGTCCGTTCACCAGGAGGAAGAACGCCTGGTTGGAGTTCAGCTGCAGGCGTCGCCTGTCAGTGAGGGGAGCAAAGGGGGAAGGAGTGTGACAGGGGTGACTCGGCATCGCTTTACAACAGGCAGCAAAACAAAGTCCTTCACCGCTGGTAGTTTTAAGATGTCCCCACCCAAAGCAGCTCTTGCCACTGGAGAAGGCTTTTGCTTCCCACCCCCAAGTTCTACTGAGGTCACCTACTCAGTGCAGTCAGACATAGCCACTGGCAGGAGCCCTTCTTCCTCTGGGAAAGCTCCTCTCGACAAGGGTGTTAAACTGAAGGGAAAAGGAGAAGCCAAGGTGATCCCCGGACAAACAGGGAGCACGCAAAGCCTGTGGGCCCTTCGGCTCGCACCTGAGCTCAGCAGCATCTCACTGGAAACATAAACCCAAGCTGACCTTGAGAGATCAGGCAGGGAGGCAGGGCAGGGCTTCCATGTGAAGGCCCTGGGTCTGTTAAAGTCACTTTGTCACCAGCTCTGTAACAGCCTGTGTTTAACCTTCGCAGCACCTTGCACCCTCGTCTCATCCTGCCCAGGAGAAGCATCATAGGGAGGGCAGAGAGCAACAGACTGCACAGACTGTGTGGCACAGTAAACATCTAACTTCAGCATTCCTCTGGGATCATTCATTCCACTTGGGGGGGACGCACAGGTATTTCTGCTAAGATGCCTACCGGAAAGCAGGTCTGCAGACCTTACTTCACAGTAAGCAAGAGGAGGTTAGACAACTGCCCCTGCCCATGGCAGGGGGTTGGAAGGAGATGATCTTAAGGTCCTTTCCAACCCTAACTCTTCTATGATTCTATGTAGAGGTGCAATCAAAGAAAGGAGGAAACAACACAGTGCTGCTCACTGCTGAGGGGCAGCAGCAGCTGGGAACAAGGCTTTATTTAGCCTCCCTGAAGAGGAACCCGTCCAAACCTTCAGGGACAGCAGGCTGGGAGAAGGCAGCAGCTACCTGAGGACTGGGAAGGACAGGCTTTGCTATAAACAAGAAGGGCTGGCAGAGGACCAAGTCCAGCTGGTGCCAAGTTATCTATTAACAATAAAGCCAGAGCAAAAAGGTGGGAAAATTCCATCAATTGCTGTTGATCTCTTTGCCCAAGGTCTTTAATGTTCCATGAGAAATTCTGTCAGACTTAAGCAATCTGGATCATGCTTCCAAAGCCCTATCTCACTTTCTTACTCATGTAATAGCTGGGATTTGTTTGTTACAGGCAGTTTCTGTACAGGCCCTGGAGGCAGGGGATTGTTTGGACAACCTGGACAACTCCCAGTTTTTGTAGCTTGTGGCCTCCATGAACCAGCTCCGGGCTACACCGTGACCAATGAAAAAGCAAACTCTGGTTTGCTGCTGACTTCCAAGTTTACCACTTGAGAACTCAGCTTTTCCTTTAAGCCAGGAGACATGCACTTCTAGCAGGACTTCTGACCACAGTTTCAGACCACACAACTTCCACTCCATGCCTATTTCCTCCTTGACTTCTGTTGTAAGCAAAGCTCAAGCATCCCGAGCGGAGCAGTCTTCAAGCCATGGTCTGCAAACAGCTTGGACAAAAAGACACTGATACTATCATTGAGGGAAACCTCGTTTCAGGATCAAAGGGAGCCAACATCAACCCTGAGCAGCAGCTCAGAGCTCTGGCTGGGAGCCTACACTCCCCTCCAGTGGGTGGGAAGAGGCAAGCACTCCAGAGAGGGACTCCCAGCAGGAACACTGGAAAGGAAGGCAGCCTAAAATAGCCAAGCAGGAAGCACTGAAGCCCTGGGTCAGAGGCACCCATATTAGGCAGGGATTCATGGCCCCACACTCTCTCCTACATCTCTGGGAGACAGTTATGTCTCTTGAAAGCAGACTAACAACAGTTTTCAGAGGTTTGTTTTTTTTCCCCAAGCAAAGCCAAAGGAAAAACACCAGTCTGTCCCAGTGATGATACCGAGGGCTCATGAGATGAATCTTCTATGTATTGCTCCCAAATGCATACACCAGGTGGGGAATTAACAAATAAACATAATCTTAGGCTGATTCATCTTACACTGAAACCAAAGCATATTACCTGATAATTTTGATTAGCTCACTCATGTTAACATGATCTGGCACCAGGAACTTGGTCTTATCCAAAACTGGAAGCTGCTTTTCTCCCTTGTACCTTTCAATGATCACCTAAGGAGAAGCACAAAAAAGAAAGGAGCTGAAGATGTGAAAGGCAGAAGCGGTGTCCGGTGCCTTCATCTCCCCCCTCCATTCTAAACAGAGCAAAGTACAAGCATTTATGCTGAACTCCATTTCCCCTCATTTGTGAATGCAGCCTCTCACATCTGAAAAGCAACAATTACAAGTATCTTCATGTGCTCCTCTTGTTCTGTTCACAAGAGTCACTGCACAAAGAGGGAACAAACAGGGTTTTAACAGCACATATCACAGCTTCAGAGCAGTTTTAGAACAGCTCATTTGCTGGAGTCATTTAATCTAGCACTGAATTACCCAGCAACAAGGAAACCCAATAAAAGATAAAGCACACTTCACTGTAACACATTACAGTGGCTGACTAGGGACTTTGGCTGCTATAGAAGCCTGCCAATCCAAGCAGTTTTCACTAGAATTTCTCCAGTTTAAGATCTTTCTAAGAACTACACCTCCAGATTAGTACGTGATTCCATTCACCTCCCATGATAGCTCTGACAGATGAGAGAAAGCTACCTTTGTAGGCTATAAAGCCTCAAAGGAGAGCACTTTCTCCTCCTTAGACTCAAGACAGCACACGTAGGAACCACTAATTCTGTCAAGATCGCTAGGTAGTAACTACTGAATTCACAAGGAAGTTGCAGATTTGCCAATTTAAGCAGCACCCTGCCCAGCAACTGTATATAGTTCCTGCTTTTAAGAAATGATCTCAGAATTCGTGCACTCCTGTTTCCACAGCCATTTGGGGTTTGTTGTTTTTAAAGCAAGGGTAGCAATGTGATACCATCCGCTTGGATCGTTTCCACGCTCACGAGGCCTGGATGTGTGGAATCTGCTCAGGTGAAGAGATAGCAAGCCAATTTAATGATTTCAGACAAAGGCTTCCTTATAGCAGTGTAAACAAATGCTGGGAAAAAATACACCACTGTTTTTAAAAAGGCATATCATGACCAATAGATAGTATTTCCAACGGCAAAGGATGTTTATAGCATGGGGAGATGTACCAGCTAGCGTGACACTGACATCTTATCTCATGCAGGGCTGCTAATGATAATAATGAGGCAATGATCCAAGTTAGGACACAGACAAGCAACCCCAGCAAGCCTCCAGAGATCCCAGCAGGCCTCTGCCATCGCTGGGAGTCTGCATCACTGCATCTTCACCAAGTTCATTAGGTCGCTCTGAATTTTTGCTAGTAATACATCCACGGCTGACTTAAAATCAGAGTTTTGCTATAAATCAGTGTCTTTCCATCTGTGGTCACAGAGCTTGGGGACTACAGTGAAGTGATCTGTAAAAGGTGGGTGAAAAAGCAATCCTCTGTCAGGAAAGATTTGTTAGGAAAGGGCCTTGGGAAAACTGTGCATTCAAGAAAAGTCAAAAAAAATCTGTGCTGTAAAATAGAACTTGTTCCTATGCCCAACAACACAGTAAAACAGCAGCAGCAGCTTCAAGATGAAACAGCTTTAAAGCTGAGCAGAAGCTGAAAACTTTCTGGTTTCTACTTGACATGGAGGCAACAACTGCTTTGTGAATGAACTTGTTCTGAAGTGCAGACAGTTTGCAAGCAGCCTGTTCACAGCAGAATTTCCATTCACAGGGATCATCACCCCTAAGTACCAAAGGCTGATGCATCCAATAGAGTTCTCTCTTCCACCAACCAAGTTCTCTCTCCTAAGACCTTCCCTGTTCCAGCCCTAAGCATTTATTGCCTACCACGGTGACAGCCATCACACAAAGCCCACCAGCTGCAAAGAACTCGTTAGTAATATAACACAACCCATGCCTTTTGCTTCCTAGGATGCTTTACTTTGCATTTGTAACCTCTCCGGTGCCATAAATGAAAGAAAACAAAAATACAGGCAACATTTGGGGCTGCCAGCTAAAGAAGAGTAAGAAGGTGAGGCCTGATCTTCTCTTTAAGGTGAGGTGGAAGGGTCTGATAGCCAGGATGCATTTCTGGACCCTGAAGACAAGCCCATTTCCCAACAAGCATTTCCACCCCTCTCAGTACAGACTGGTGACGAAAGGCGGATCTGTCTCTCCATTACTGTGTCATCTCCTTGGCTAGCCCCTGCAGACTCTTCTTTTGGAGAAGAAAAACACTGAAGAGAGCTGAACACTCAGGAGGATCTCAGAGCTCAGCTGGGGCGTGGTTTTCTTTGAAGTTACAACACGAAGCAGCAATACACAGGAAACCAAACTTCCTCCAGACCCAGCTAGCACCTTGCTCTGCCACACTGACTGCTGGCTACTCGTTTGAGAATGTTTCTGAAACCCAGGCTTAGTGACCCTGAGCAGCCAAACTTTCACCTGTTTGGACAGCTCTTTTACAGGCTTCTAACTACTAACAGGAATATGAGACTGGAAATTGAAGTGAAAAATAAAAAGAACCAGACTTACTGGTATTTTAGTTGGATGCTGCTCTCGAATCAGTCGTACATCTTCCACTCTTTGCTCTGCAAGAGATTTAAAAAAAGTCTGGTTTACATCCACACTTAATGGTGTTATTACCTTATTTCTCCACCACTGAAGAGGGGGACTGCATGTTAACAACAGCAAATTCAGGTAAAGCAGTTTCCAAATGGAAAAGCACTGTCACAAGTAAAACCTCTCCTGTGACATATGACACTTTGCTCTTTAACCCAAGGTGACAAGTACTGCATGCATGCTACCTGCGACTCCTAGAAAGCATTGAAGGAGACAGCTTCCTCCCCACACACCCCTCATTTTCTGCCCACTAAAGCAGACATTTAATCTCGTAAATTTATGGCACCAAATTACACCACCCAAGTTAATGACTAAGTCTTCTGTAACATTTCTGTGAGATCCCAGAAGAAGAGGTAGTCAACGCTTAAGTGAGAGCTGAGACCAGCCTAAGCCTGGCAGCATCAGCTTACCCTGTCCATTCTAGTATTACCAATTACAGTTTTCTGGTTTGATTATGCTGCACTCATTGTTGCAGAAGCTGTTGGCAGGTTCTTCTGTACCTAAACATTGCACTGCTCCCTGTGCCAGGTTTCAGGATAAAGTTCATCTCTCCTCAGACGTAAATATTAATAGCACAGATATTATAAACCAGGCTAAAGTACATGTCCAAGGCAAAGTAAACAGGAACAGTTGCTTTCAGAGGCAGTTGCATCTGCTTATACCCTGCCTACTTTCAGATTCAGCAAACTCAGTTTTAACCTCTCTGGTCCTTTTCAGCAGGTCAGGGCTTTCGAGGCCATCTCCATCTCGTAAACACCTCTCAGTGAGGAGATTTAATGTTGCATCACAGCTTTAACAGACACTCAGCTAGGGAGACGTGCCTCTCGTGGAAGAGGAAGAGCTCAGATCAGCACCCGTCAGGCCGACTCCTTTCTGGTATGTTAATGCTTAGGACACATTACCTGTCCCGTCACTCAGCAGTAACATCACTCAGCTCTCCATTAGTCTATACTGAATCTGGGTGCATGAAACACATCCGTGTGCCTTTTTAGACGCCTGGTTAAGGAAATGCAACTCACGTGAATCACGGTTTTGAGCTGGAGATGAATCAAGCTGAACTAAGGCAGGGAGCATGCAAAGCCTTCACCTGACTGCAGGAGTGAGAACCTGAAAGCCATCCTGCTTCACATCCCACAGCGTGAGCCACGCTCTCACAGCATTAACACTTCAAGGACAGAGGCAGAGATTACTAGCTAATTAAAATACTTTTTAAGATTAACTAGAAACATAAGATACGGCGAGTAAATGAGACCAACTGTCAGCCTAGCAAGCACAGGGAGGTTTGATTAATTTTGCAACCGAAACAGGTTTGTCCATAGCGATGTTATTCAGCAGAACTCCCTGGAGTAGCAGGAACATAAACCGGACAAATCACTGAGATTATTGTATATGGTGTGTTCAAAATCAGGCTTCAGTCAGCCACAGATAAACACTGCTCTCTGACGACATTAGTTGCAGTGGCAACTGCTTGGCTGCCATCCTAGCTGAACTTAATACCTGCAATAGAGGCTGCTGACAGGCAATGGGGTCAACAACAGTTTTGGAGGAGTCCAAGAAAAGGGGCAGCTTAAAACCAGACTTTGCTAGATTGACATTCTCACTGCTTCTATGCAGAGAGTGGCTTACGCTCAACTGAACAGCAAAGGGTGGGCGCATCAGAAAGCTCTCTTAAGCAGCTTGCCTTTAACCCAAAGGCAGAAGGAATAGAAAATCTGGATCAATTACTTCCACCAATTCAATTTTACGTATAGGATTTCATACTTCATGCAGAAATAGGTTACGCTGCCAGTTCTTGTTACCCTCAGAGCATTTCAGCCTCCCTCACTGACACACATGAACAGATACCAAGATCTTTGCTTGCTCTGGTCCCATCCTAAGCACAGACAGAAGTGTTGGCACGGCTCTATCAAGGCTGTTCCTTCTAGAAAGGGACTAATCTCATTTCCCCAGCCACCATTACACAGCTCTTTTTGATGCCTTGCTAGTTTTCAGTAACTAAACGAAGACAGGAGGCATACAACCCAGTCCACTCGGGTAGAGAGCTCCTCACCCGGAGCCAAGCACCGAGCTCTAAGCGGAGCTTAATTCTCCTGTCAATAGCACAGACACGGCCGGGCGCTGAGCAGACACGTCGGGAGGTGCAGGCGGGCCCAGCTCCTGGCACACAACATAAAGCGATGTCTCCTGGCTCCTGGGCATTTTGCGGTCGATAACGGGTGGTTCGGAGATGCCAGCTCCTCATCCCAAGCCCCTCTCCCGACGCAGAGCTCATCCTGGCACACCAACGGTGTCCGCCTCCATAGCTCGCTCACGCCTCCGGACATCCAGAACAGAGCCCTGGCACAAGGGAAGCTCCCAGGCTTCCCCACCTCGCCGGGGAGCGGAGCCCAGCCCGGGGGTTGTTTCCATCTCGGTGCCGGCCGAGCAGGGCGGTGACTCCCCTTCCGCCGCAGCACCGGGGACACCGCGGAGCCCTCGGCGGAGCCGCACGGCCACGGACGGGGCGGCCGGGCCCGCTCCGGCCGCTGAGCCCCGCTGTCAGCGGGAGCCACCCCCGTGTCTGGGGCTCTCCGCGGCTCCCACACGGACCTGCCCCGATCCCTCCCCGCCGCCGCCCTGCCCCTGTCCCTGCCCCGCCAGCCGAGCGACGAGGCCCGAAGGGCGGCGGGGCAGCCTGAGGGCCCTGTCAGCGGCCCGGCCCCGCCGCATCCCTTCCGCGGCGGGGGACGACACTCACCGAAGCTGCGGCGCTGCTTGAAGCTCTTCTCCGAGGGCATCGCGGCGGCTGCTCGGCCTCGGGCCCGGCGGCGGCTCTGCACGGCAGCGGCGGACAGCCCGGAGTGCCCGCGCCCGGCCCCCCCCGCCGCCACCACCACCACCGGCGGCTTCGCCGTCAGCTGACAACGGGCGTCACGGAGGGGCGGGGCCGGCACGGGCGAGGCGACGTGTTTGGGGTGGGACCTGCGGCACCCGGGGGGGTCGGGTACCGGGGGGGGTGCGGTACCGGGGGGGATGGGGTACCGGGGGGGATGCTCGGGTACCGGGGGGGATCGGGTACCGGGGGGGATGCTCGGGTACCGGGGGGGATCGGGTACCGGGGGGGATGCTCGGGTACCGGGGGGGATCGGGTACCGAGAGGGATCGGGTAGCGGGGGGGATCGGGTACCGAGGGGGGGATCGGGTACCGAGGGGGGATCGGGTACCGGGGGCGATCGGGTACCGGGGGGAATGCTCGGGTACTGGGAGGGGGGATCGGGTACCGGGGGGGATGCTCGGGTACTGGGAGGGGGGATCAGGTACCGGGGGGGATGCTCAGGTACCGAGGGGGATTGGGTACCGGAGGGGATCGGGTACCGGGGGGGCTCGGGCACCTCCGGCCTGTGCCTGCTCGGCCACACAGCCGGGGCTGCCTCGGAGAGCTCTGCTCCTGTGCCCCCTCAGTGACACAGCCATGGCTGCCCCAAAGCCCTGCCAATGTACCCCCATAGCCACAGCACCTCAGCATCACCCCTGTGCCCCCTCGGTGACACAGCCATGGCTGCCCCAAAGCCCTGCCAATGTACCCCCATAGCCACGGCCACCTCAGCATCACCCCTGTGTCCCCTCAGTCACACAGCCATGGCCACCCCAAGAGCACTGCCATTGCAACCCCTCAGTGACACACAGCCATGGCTGCCCCGAGAGCCCTGCTAATGTACCCCTATAGCCACGGCCACCTCAGCATCACCCCTGTGTCCCCCCAGTGAGACAGCCATGGCCACCCTGAGAGCACTGCCACTGCACCCCCTCAGCCATGGCCGCCTCAAGGGAGCCCTGCCACTGTGCCCCCTCAGTGACACACAGCCATGGACTCCTCAGCACTGCCACTGTGGCCCCTCAGCCATAGCAACCTCAAGGGAGCATGGTCACTGTACCCCCTGTATCCCCACAGTGAAAACACAGCCATGGCCCCCTTAGAGCATCCTGCCTTTGTACCCCTACAGTGACACACAGCCATGGCCATCTCAGACAGGCCCACCATGTCCCCCCTTAACAAGCAAGTTCACCTCCATACAAAGCTGAGTTGCCTTCACTTTGCCCCCACCACCATAGACTCTAGCATGATGAGGCCATGGTAAAGTTTAGTTCAGGGAACAACCTTTTAGGGGCAGGTGTTGCCGTTCCCCTGGAAGCCCAGCACCCCGTCTCATTTGGTTTGTCAGGAATTGATTGGATCACAACCACTTCATTTGGAAGCCAACTTCGCTTGTGTTCATCCTGCAGATAACTGCATCGCGATTAAGAAGGCCCAACTGTTTCCTCCTTTAGCAGCTTTCCTACACAAGCTGTTGGCTGTAGACTTTCAGCTGCCTTTCTTTCTCTTTCCCTCACATATGTTCCCGGCTCCGTGTTTTGAAATACAAGAGTGATTTTGCAGCAATAGGGCTACACAATCTCACTTTATAATTCAGCTTCTGTGGCTGAAGGGACAGGGAGCTGCAGCCAGCAGTACCCTTATGAGTACAGGGAGAAGGACCGTTTTGTAACCAGCGTGGAGATTATCAGGGGTTTTGGGGGTGGAATGATGCATTGAAGCTAAGAGTGATGCTGCTCTCACACGCTGGAATGAGTGTTCCTCACGTAAGTTTGTGATTCAGGGTCATCCAGTTCCGGTGCTTGTATAATTAGAAGATGAGGCTATTAAAGATGTGACTAATCAAGGGAAGAAAAACAGCCCTAAGGTCTATGAATGCTCTGTCCATCACATCACTGTCCAGGGACAGCAGGTGAGACACTGTGGATGATCATCAAAAGGCTGATACATCTGAAAGTTAAACTAGCAATCCTGAGGTTTTGTTTCAACAGATTTCTTCCTTTTTTAAACAACTTCCTTTTAAAACACGTTTCCTGGGATGAGGGAATTCCACTGCCAAGGGCTGCCGCAGGCTGTGTGACCAGCCTGGATGGGGCTTTGAGCAACCTGGTCTAGTGGAAGGGGTCCCTGCCTATAGCAGGGTGTTGGAATTGGATCAGCTTTAAGTTCCCTTCCAACCCAAACCGTGCTATGATTCTATGGCAGGCCCTGGTGCAACCACATAGCATTGTTTTTGGGGTGGACAGTCCCAGTGGCAGGGCTGACAGTACTGAGCACTGCATGTCGCATGGTTTCCATCCACGCTACCAACTGTTAGCAGGGCTGCAGCTCAGGCTGAAAGCATCCATATGGTGCTTAGGAAGAGCCACAATCAGAGTATCTGCTGACAGGCTGGGCTATCACATTTTCCACTCATAAATAATCTGCAGAGACTGTGAGAAGGAAAACTTACATCCACACCAAGACTCACTTGACCTTTCCCTCCTCATGTCATGTCAGCCTTCGCCTATGTCTGCGTGTCGACAGCACAGACAGTTGGTGAGTCTGGATTTGAGAAAGGTGTTAGGTGCAGTTGGAATGACAGAATGGACAAAGCCTTTGGGACCACCCAAATTCTCCATCCTTAGTGAGAAAACGCTGCTTTTGCTTCAAACTTGGTGACTGTGCTGGAACAGAGCCCCTTAAAGATCTAGCCCGCAGAGCATTTTTATTCTAGTCCTAGAACACTTTACAAAGCATTTAGCCTGAAAAAGAGAAGCCTTAACTGAAAGGAGACATTATATCGTCTTCAAATATGCAAAGGGTTGCTGCAAAGCAGGAGGGAATTAGTTCCTCTCTGCATGCAGTGGGTCTAGGACAAGAAATAATGAGCTTACATCTTGGAAAAGGCAATAGAAATTAGACACTGGGTTAAGGGTAAGAAGAGTTGAGCACCAGAACAAATTGCCTAGGAAAGCAGCGGAATAATCGCTATCGGATATTTTTGTTTAACAAGAAATTAGTAAAACATCTGCTCTGAAGAGATTAGGGAGAATTGTTTTCATCTCAGGGAGAGGGATGGGGTAAACTATCTATTACAACACCTGTCCACCCTACTTTTTCATGAAGCAAAGAGATGTGATTTGCCCAAACTGACAAAACAGGTTAGAGCACAAGCTGGATTTGGATTCCAGCTCAGATTCTTGCGTCTGCACCCTATACAGCAGGCTATACCAAATCCAAAGCTGAAAAAAGCACCAGCTTTTCCCAGCTGTTATCTCTTCCATGAGGTTGGTTACAGGTTTTGTTTTTTTTTTTGTTAAAAGCCAGCACGAAACCCAAACCCAAGCTGGTATTTACAGCATTTCCCTGAGGAAAAACTCCCACTTTTCTTTCTTTTTTTTACATATGAGCTGCTTCACAACAAAGTGAGTGTGTTTCACAGTCAGAATTATAAACCATCCCCTCACTTCTCTGGCACAACGGCTCTGAAAAGGCTTTTACAGTGAACAGACAAAGCTGTTCCTCTGCAGTGCTACACCCTTGCTGGAAGACAGCACTTTAGTGTCTAGGGCTATTAGCTCAGCAGCTGTCAGCAGTATTAAATTCACCAGAAACATGGAGAGAAAACACTCACAAAATAAAAGGAAGGACAACTGTGCTGAGAGTAACCTGCATTTAAACTTGAATCAAAACACCTTCCTTCAGTTATTTTCTCATGAATTGTTCTTATTGATCTAGCTCTGGTAAAGATCAATGCGGGCCTTGATTTTTTAACACAGTGTGCAGCCATTACCCGGCTACTATTGAAGATTTTGAGACAGAGTAAGTTGTACTGAATTGTTTGCAATGCCTTAAAATAACTCTTCTGAGAAGTTTTCATCTTAAATTTGTCCTAAGATGGTGACTACCCTATGAACAAATTCCCAAACTTCCTATTTCTCTACGGAAGTCACTTTCTGAGTTAGGAGATCTCTAGCAAAGAAGTGATGAGAATGACAAAATATCTGTCTTTTGGGGGGATATAAAAATGTAATTTGAGAAAAGTGAAGCTAAAGAAACCAGTTGCAGAACATTTTCCATATGTGAGTTTTCTCTGAGGTCTAACAGCAGATAAGCCATCGCTTATCTAAGCTGTTCCTCAGCGGGAACATTGACTCTCTCCTCTATCTGGCCACATATTTCACAAAACTTCTGGAATATAACACTTTTGAGATTAATAGACAGATGCTTTTTTGGACTGTAAACCCAAACTAGCACACAGACTTGTGCAATGTCATCACAAAATCACAATTTCCTTAGAACGTTTGGGTAAAACTCATTGCACTCCCCCTCCAAGAAGTATTGCCTAAGAGATCAGTGCCATGTGCCACAGCCCCGACATCAGGTACTGCTGCTATTGCTGTTCCAGCAAACATTTCTTGGCTTCAGGATCCCCTTTTAAACGGGAGCCATTTGTTTCACAACGAAACACAGTAAATCAGTTGGCGTAAGCAATAACAACTTATGTTTATGTACTACCTGTCGCTCAAACAGATCCATAACCTCTTGGCAAACAGTAACAACCGCATGAGTGCGGAAGGCATAGCAGGGAAATTGTGGGATAATACAGTATGCAACAAAGTTTTCCACTAATTTTTAATACTCCTAGGATTTAAGCAATTCCACACACACATTCAAATACTGAGTACTACACCTCCTGTGGCTTCAGTAAACACCCTCCTTATTTACATCGTGAGAAACTGAGCCATATGGAGGTTCAGTGAGCTGCCTGTGATTGCACAACCATTGCTCAGCAGCCGACCCAGTAATAGCATCTCAGACACCCCACTGCTTGTCCTGTGATCTGTCCTGAACAGGATAATGCTTCTGCGAACTGAGCTACCAGAAGTGCTGGGCACAATGAAATCGTTCAAGCTGGACCATGGCCAGAGCTGAAAGAACAACAACTGCTTCTAGCAGGAGTGCTAGAAAGTCTTTGGTGACCCCAGGTACTCATGACCACAGCTGATCATTAGGATTGGCTAATACC